GTTGGTGTTCAATATAGATTTAATTACACCTGAAACTTGGTGTTCAACATAGATTTAATCACACCTGAAAGTTGGTGTTCTACATAGATTTAATCACACCTGAAAGTTGGTGTTCTACATATATTTAATCACACCTGAAACTTGGTGTTCTACATAGATTTAATCACACCTGAAAGTTGGTGTTCTACATAGATTTAATCACACCTGAAAGTTGGTGTTCAATATAGATTTAATTACACTTATTTTCTTTAGTAGGCTGTCATCAAAACAAAGCCTTTACGGTTATCTTCTTTAGTAGGCTGTCACTAAAACAAAGCCTTTACGGTTATCTTCTTTAGTAGGCTGTCATCAAAACAAAGCCTTTACGGTTATCTTCTTTAGTAGGCTGTCACCAAAACAAAGCCTTTACGGTTATCTTCTTTAGTTGGCTGTCACCAAAACAAAGCCTTTACAGTTATCTTATTTAGTGGGCTGTCTTTGACGTAAAGTGAGTTGTTAATTAACAACAGTTATAACAACTAGTCATGGCATACTGTGTAGGTCTTGTGCTCAACAGAGAGTAGACGTGCCCTAGTAAAAGCTTCCGTCTATCTCAGATACACTAACACTAACTTAGAGATACGAGAAAACGGTACTATTATTAAAAAGTTCTGAACAATTCACCCAAATTCTTCACATCAAGGGACATATAGACATACAGTCGTTAGCTTAATGCAGACACACAGGTAAGAAAACAAAGTTTTCCGCTCACCAGGTGGGTAACCTGATCACTAACAAAATTTGTTGGTTTTGTAAACATGGATGTTTTTGTGAAACAAAATACAGCTCGTACGTTTCTAAGACTGGACAAAGCAGCTCGTGGAAATGGCTTCCCATGTTTCATCGACCAATAAATAAATAAATAAATACCTTACATCATTTGTAGATTCCCCCTTCTCACCCGAAGTGTGGTTGAGAACACAAAACACAGAAGAACAAAGAAACGCGTATCAGTGTTTGAAAGCTAGTAATAACTTGAGGTGCATTCTCGTTTAATATCTCGGAATCTCCGCTAATGTTAAAAATACAATATTAAACACGGCTTTGTGGGACAAATCAAACGATTGGTATCACACGCGACTGTCAGTGACAACTTCAAGGTGGTGGCGCCATGTTACTCGTCAAAAAAATAAAAATATAATAATATTTGTTTTGTTTAAATGTTTTCTTTTATATATATACGAAACGCAACTTTGATATATGTATAGATATATATACTGATAAATAATTCAAAATTAAACATTTAATTTCATGAATTACATTACTGAACATCTAGTTGCAAAAAAAAAAAAATACTGATTACATTTGAATTAAGCTAAAATAATGAATATATAACTTGTTAGCAATCCAGACTAAGGTGTGTTACATTAAATATTTGTTGTATAAGTAATTTTATGTTCGAACTAACAACACTATCTTTACAAATAGAGTAGATAATACAACTTCCTACCTGTCATCAAGCTGACTTAAACGATTAGTAGCAATGTGAATTATCTGCGAACTGAAAAGTTGAGGCGTTGGTCTGGCTTGCTTTTAGTCTTAGTTCCTTAGAACATTCTCGCGCTGTTTGCTGTGAATAACACTAGTTAATTTCACCATTATAAGTTTGTTTGCTTGACATCTGTTGGGCTACTATAATCCTAGACATGGGGTTTAAAAACACGTTATCGACGATGAAGCTCAAGGTTGGAAACTCGGGCGTCACATGCCGTGGGATCAACTGATAATGTTATAATTGCACGCAATGAAAAGGCGGGAAGTATAGGACATCGCGAACGTTGGTACAATTTGTATGTAGATACTACTTTTGTAGTTCTTGCCCGTTAAGACACAACAACAACAGGTACGTTACTCGGTGTAAACTTCGTTTCGGCCCCACGAACACAGAACTGTTCACTAAACACGCCAGGTAAACGCAGTTCAGGCTAGGGCACCCAAAGGATTCTGGGAGACCGAGCGCGTTTTTAGAAAACTTGTTTTGCCTTAGGGGGAGCAGGTAGAACGAGACGTGGACTTCATTAGTCCACGAATCTATAAAGGCCAGCTTGTGCTAAGGCCAACGACTGGTTTTTACCTGCGGCCATCAGAGTTGCGAATTAGCCAAAACGACTTTTGCTGCCGTTCAATTGTCGAGAAACCAACATTTAAGATCAGATTTAAATGAATGACACATCAAGAAATACGAAAACCGTTTTCACTTATCCCTCATGGTGAGTAACCGAATATTGAGAAAAATATCACCAGAAGTCCAAAA